CAGGAGACATCAGCCATCAGCCAAATAGAAATTGCCAAACACTCCTTAAGAACACAAAGCCCTCATTGCACAAATCCCAGAACTTCAAAGTCACAAAAGCACATAAGAATCCTTCCACTCTCCATCTCCTTCCCTCCTCCGTGCCTCACCTCCAGCCATTGCTGCCTTTTTTCATTCCTCTTGGAGGGTGACCCCTCCCGTGCTGCATTTCTTGCCTGTTTGCTGCTGCCAGCACAGGTGGCTGCCACAGCAGTTGTAGATCGGCTCATGGCCAGTCTGCTTGATCTCCTCTCCTCTCCTCTCCCCCCATCCTCCCCCTCCCCCTCCTTCTTCTTCCCCTTCGGTGCAGCTGACTCTGCCTCCTCCCAAGGCTGCTGCTTTTTTTCTCTCTCCCTCTCCTGCCCAAACTGCCTCCTTTTATAGGCTCTCCTGTCTCTGCCCCCTCCTCCTTTCTCATGGGGGAGGGTGAGCCAGAAGTGAGCTTGGGGCCTTTGCAGCTCCAGAGGACTCTCTCACTGTAAGTCCTTGCCTGTGCTGGCTCTTTCCCTCCCCCACTACACTTGGCTAGGCAGGGCTGCGGTACCACCTGCCACTCATTAATGTACCACAAGTGGTAGCATACCACTGGTTGAAAAGCCCTGTTCTACTGGTCACTTAGTACATTTATGTTGCGGTCTTTAACAGTTCCTTACCATGCTGAGAAGCTGGATCACATCATTTTCACTACAGCAAACATGACCTTAGTATGTCCCTTCCTGTTAGCTTCTTCCAGATGTTGACACTGCTCCTCCCACTGCCTATTTTTGTCTTACCTGGCTTCACATTGGAAAATTGAATTCAGCTTTTTAACTTCGTCCTTATTACTTTTGGCTTTCGCTGCCCTTCACTGATCAGCTATTTTGATGGTGTCTTCAGATAGACACTTGTTTGTTCTCTTTGGGTTTTGGCGTGACACATACTTTCCAGCAATTTCCATGATGTTACCTTAGATCTCTCACCAGTGTTCATTTGGACCTTTCCCTTCTAAATTCAGTAGTTCAAACCTATTCTCAACCTCTATGGCTGTTATGACCCAGCTGGTCAAGGCAAGGCAGGCCTTTAGAGAGTCCTTTATTGTCCTCAAGAAGTGTTCAATAAACAGCCCTTCAATGACCAGTAAGGCTCCACCCCATGCTACCCTGAAGGCAGCCACCCTCAGTCCCCCAAACAACACCACTTGGTGCATAGCCCAAAGCTCTTAGAGGAATACATTCACCGCAGGCATGAGGGAGTCCAATGGGGCTAAGGGAAAGAGGCATGGGTGAAAACCGTAACTGGTGAAGAATGGGGTCACTTGGATGCAGGTGTGTAGCGAGTTGTATGCAAACTTAGCCACCGCTAGCATGTCTGCCCAGTTGTCCTGCTGTTGATTCATGAAGCACTGGAGATATAGCTCAAGGATGTCATCCATCCATTCAGTACCCCCATCGGTCTCCAGATGATGGACCGAGGAGAGACACACCTGGATCTTGAGTTCTTTCAGCAGAGCCTGCCAGAAATGCACCGTGAATTGTGCTCCTTGATCTGACACGACCCGGTCCGGCAGACCGTGCAGCCAGAACACATGGTGAATGAATAACTGGGCCGTGGACCGAGCTGTGGATAGTCCCAAACACAGGATAAAATGGGCCATTTTAGTGAGCATATCCACCACGACCAACACAGTGGTGGCTCCATTAGATGGTGGCAGCTCAATGGTAAAATCCATAGAGACGCCCCCCCATGGTCTCTGCAGTGTGGGCAAAGGCTGCAGCAGTCCGGGGGGAGCACCAGTGGTGTTTTTGGCCTGCCTACATTGCACACACGAGGCCATGTACCCAGTGATGTCATGCTGAAGATGCGGCCACAAAAAAGTCTGGGAAACCAAATGGAAGGTCTTGAACACCCAAAGTTTCCTGCTGACGTGCTGTCATGGCACTACCGCAAGATGAGACCCTGGAGGGACCCCGCTGGTACGTAGAGGCGGTCCCGGAAATGAAGCAAGTTTTCCGTGTAGGACCAGGTGGTCACCTCATTCCTCGAACCTCGGCCCAAGTAACAATGGTGTGTAGCCACAAACGGATCCTGCTGTTGTACATCCCGGATCTGTGCTCTCAAATTCACCGGTTCCTCAGTGGCAGCGAGATGCTCCAACAAAATGACCGTGCGAAGCACTAACATGTCCCTTTCAGGGTATACTTGGGTTTGCGGGACAACGCATCTGCACACTGGTTGCACCTGCTTGGCACATTTCACCTGAAAGTCAAAGTGCGCAAAGAACAACAACCATCACACCTGTCACTGGCTGTCCACAGATGCTCCAGATTGCGATGATCAGTCCAAACCTCAATTTGATGTCGGATACCCTCCAAATGGTGCCACCAGGTCTCAAAGGCCACCTTCATGGCCAACAGTTCCTTGCCCCTTTTATATAGTTCTTTTCTGCTGAGGACAACTTCCTGGAGTAGTAGGTGCAAGGGAACAGGGTACCCGAAGGAGCGTAGGCTTGCAGGAGAACGGCCCCAACGGCCATGTCCGATACATCCATCTCCACCACCAAAGGCCTCACCAGATCGTGATGCTTCAGGATAGGCTCTTAGGCGAAGGCGGCTTTGATGGCATCGAGGGGGTCCTGCTCTGCCATGCTCCAGTGGAACTTCATGCCCTTCCATAACAGGATGGATAGGGGTGCAGTCAAGGTGGCAAACCGGGGAATGAAAGTGCGGTAGTAGTTTGTGACGCCCAAGAGCTATTGCACGTCCTTTACCCAGCGTGGGGGCTGCCAGACCCGCAGCACCTCCAATTTCTCAGGATCCATCTCCATGCCCTCAGGGGAGATGTGATGGCCCAGGAAGTTGATGGTCTGTGTGATTGGCATTTTTCATGCTTCATGAAGAGTTGATGCTCTTGCAGGCACTGCAACACCAAATGGACGTGCTTCCAGTGCTCTCTGTGGGAGGGAGAGTAGATCAAGATGTCATCAAGGTAGATGACCACGAAACGGTCCAACAGATCCCAGAACGCATCATGCATGAAATGCATGAAGACCCCGGGAGTGTTGGTCAGGCCAAAGGTCATTACTGTGTACTCGAAGTGGCCATAGCATGTCCTGGAGGCTGTCTTCCACTCATCCCCCACTCTGATTTGGACCAAATTGTAGGCTCCCCGCAGGTCCAGTCTGGTAAAAATCTGGGGCCTGGTGCAGCCTCTCTATATGCTCGGGGATCAACAGTAGAGGGTACCGATTGTGCAAGGTGATAGCTTTCAGTTTGCGATAGTCACAACAGAGTCTTAACTCCCCAGATTTTTTCCTTTATGAAAAGCACAGGAGCAGCCAAAGGAGACGCTGAGGGCCAGATGAACCCTTCTGCAGGTTTTTGTCCAAGAACTCCGAGAGCTGCCAACTCAGGTTCGGAAAGGGAGTAAATCTGGCCCACAGGCAATTTCGCATCCGGGACCAGGTCTATTGGGCAATCATAGGGGTGGTGAGGTGGCAACCTGTCCTCATCCTTCTCCCCAAACACATCAGCATAGTCTGCGATCTCGGAGGGTAAATCCAACGGTCGTCTCTCCCTGTGATGACTCCCCCGGACGATTCCGGTTACCTCTCTAGATGTCAGCTCAGGGGAGGATAAACTGGTTCTTGGCATGTCAGGAGCTGAGTTAATTGATGGCTCCGAGCAGCTGTCTGGGATTTGGCTGAGACTCCAGCTGGGGAAAGCATGCAGTTGCAGACGGTCAGTGAGGAGGAGGAGGAACTGCCTTCTGTACCTGATCCAAGAACATGTAGGGTAGAGAAAAGGCAGGAGTAGAGGTCAGCCAGACTACTTAAGAGGTGAAAGCCTTGCTCTTCTTCATGGGCTGCATCAGAAGCTGGCTATTTAGCACAGCAGACAGAGGGAGGCGTTATTGGGAACAACATGTTTGTTTTCTAGCTGTGTGTTTTCTGGTCATTGTGATTCCTGCCTCACTTTGGATTGACACCATGCCTTGACTTAAATTGTACCTTGGAAACTCTGTACTTTTCTTGACTTGTAAGCTCTCTTGTGTTGTAGATTTAAGTTTGCCTGGTGGATTTATTTTGTTTGAGAAACTTTCAAGTGCTTTGTGGACTCTTTGGCCATTGCTTTGTGGACTAACATTGGTCTGCTCGTGGCTGGACTTAATTGGGACAGTTCTGGGTGTTTTGGTGAAGGGAATTGCAAGGGAATATTAATAAACTCAGTAAACCACAGTTACATTTATGTGTGAGTGAGCTGGGCAGCACAGTTTGTTCCCAGCCACTCATTTCCCCCCCACCCCAGCAAGCCTACCCTTCAAAAGGATGGAGCAGTTGCTAGCAGATAATGCACAGCTGGCCCAGCAAGTGGCCCTGCTCTCCTCACAGCTGGCCCAGATGCAAGTGGTGGCCCCGGCATGTCCCCGTCAGAAATGCTATGTCCCCGTCAGAGAGCTATGTTTGAGGACCCCATGAAGGCCCAGACGGCGAACTGGTGCTTGCGAGAGCTAAAGCAGGGGCGACGGCCGGTTGTAGACTATATCAGCAACTTCCGGCTGATAAGTTAGGACCTGAGGTGGAATGAAGAGGCCCTCAACTATCAGTTCCAGGGGGGTCTGTCATCAGAGCTTCTGGATGAGCTGGCCTGGACAGACTGCCCCAACACCTTATAGGCCCTCATGCACCTCTGTCTGCATATAGACAGGCGGCTTCAGCAATGGAGGGCACAGAGACGGAGGGCGGAATCACACCCGCCGGCGAAGCCCCACGAGGAGCCGCTTTCCTCCGAGGAACCTATGCAAGTGGGGGGGGGGTGTTGGCCACGGATCACCACTGCTGAGAGGAATCACCTTTGCTGGGAGAGACTATGCTTCTACTGTGGGAGGCCTGAGCATCTGGCTGCCACGTGCCTGGCTAAGAAAAGTCGGGTGCCGTCAGGAAACTCCAGGGGCCTGACCTAGGAGGCTCGCAAGGTTGGGTGACCATGTTGGCAGGCCCAACGCAGCAACGAGTCACGCCAATGCATTTGGTGGTGGCAGTGATTTTGATACGACCCGATGGGGCGAAGGTGCCAACACAAGCTATGGTGGATTCGGAGGCCACCGCGAAATTTATGGATCTAGAATTTGCCGCGAAATGGGAGATCCCGCACGAGGTTCTCCTGCCATTCTGGTGGAAACCATAGATGGCCGACCTCTCTGGTCAGGACATATGACAGCAGCCACTGTCCCACTTCAGATGCACATGGACGATCACATGCAGCAACTTGAGTTCTACTTGGCGGTCGCTAATTTCCCTATCATGCTGGGGTTGGAGTGCTTCCAGGCGCACAACCCGAGGATCGTGTGGTCAGAGGAGGTGATTCATTTGGACAGCCAGAAGTGTCATACCCACTGGCTGCAGGTGTGCGTGGCTGAGGGAGTCCCCACGAAAATCTTATACCTTCTGTCGGCAATTGTGGACTATGCTGATGTGTTCAGTGAGAGAGAGGCGGAGCAACTCCCACCACGACTGCCCCATCAATCTGGTTCTGAATGCCAAGCTTCTGGTGGGTCGGATTTATTCCTTGTCTGAGCCTGAACTCGAGGCCTTCAATTTTTTTCTTTAGGAATTGGTCTTTCCATTTTGTTGTCAAGCCCCACATAGCTAGCAAACCAAGGAACCAAAGCCACATAGATTTCAGGAAGGTATATTTAATCCTAGTCTGAGATAAAACCAGCATTTTGAAAACTTTTAAGGACAAATTCCTGCCAGATTTATACTAAATTAACTATGGTGGAGTCTCTTTGAAACAAAGCTCGATCTTCCTGATCTATGTTCTTCTAATTCACTTGTTGGGGCTACACAGCAAGGACATCTTTGGGATTCCAGGTTGATGTTCTGAACACCACCACCACTCCCAGTGTCCCATAACTAGGAGTTTTGTAAAACTCATAGTTCTGGACAAGTCACTGGTTTTCTGTTTGTTTCTTCCTTTCAGTCAATTTTGACTCCTGGACAAGTCGCTGCAGCTTTCTTGGCAAGATTTTCTAAAAGTGGCTTGCCTTCTTCCTAGGGCTGAGTATGTGTGACTGGCCCAAGGTCACCCAACTGGCTTTCTGCTTTACACAGGACTAGAACTCTCAGTCTCCCAGTTTCTAGCCTGGTGCCTTAACTTGTCAACTCTACAAATGAGCATGGCTGCAGCCATTTTTTCTACTCATTTTCGGTTACCACATAGAATGGAGGGAGGGGGGGTGGCCCAGGTGCTTCGCTAAATAATCTTTTGTCCCGTGGGAACCAAGGTCATCAGCTGCTCCCGAGACTGCAGGCTGGGCGTTGCATAAAAAGCCCACCGAGAAGATGTATTGGGGAATGTAGTTGCTTGCATAGTTTTAGGGGAGGGATTTTTTAACTTTGTATTGGGGAATTGTTACGTCTGTCTCCAGACTTGGTTTCACTTTTGATGTGCCAATACTTTGTAACTAATAAACATGTTCTTTGGTTGGCAGGCATATTTAATTTATGATAAAAAAGTAGATAGAATTTTTAAGGCTCACATTTTGAGAAGTGCCTTACTTCGAGTTTGGAAGAAATATTATTATAGATTAAACTATAAGATTCCGATTTGGACAAGTCCAGGACAGATGATAGAGGGGATATCTAGGGGAGTTAAATTGGATAAAGTTTCATACAAAG